GTTTAATGTGTTCTTTCACTGAATCAAGCTGGTGATCTGTTGAAATTTCTCCAATCACAATAAGCATATAGTATCGAGTCTGGCAGAAAGGAAAGGCACTGCTGTCCAAGGTGCTGAATAATCTCGCGCTTCTCCTGAGGACCTACAGCAGCATCTCCTAGCGGCATTTCCATGGTAACCGAATCTGGAGCTGAGGGAGTTCTTGCATTTCCATGACAACTGCAGCCATCAGCCCTCTCCGTGGGGCGGGATTAGAGGAGGAGCGGAAAGAGTGCCTCGGAAAAGACGTCCTGCTGTTGGTTATCGGCTGCCACCAAACGCTTACATTTCATCATGACAACTTTGCTATCGATAATGTATTCTGAAATACCTAGGAGAAATAGTTGTTTACACTCCATCTGCAAATGACTTTTCATTATGCCAAGAAAATTGGATGTAATCCAGAATAAATTGATTCTCAAAAAAGGATGTTTGCAAACTCACTCTCTCTTACTGAAAGGCAATCACAGCCAATATTTTCTCTTATTATAATCATATTTTAGTGATCAATCATCAATAAACTTTGTATCTTATTTTTGTGCCAGGAGATCAGATGTTCTAATACTAAACAGATTCTTGTCACAACTTCATGTCATTATGGGAAGATTAAGCTTAAATCTAGGGTTTTGTAACTCACATACACATGATATATGATCCATAAAAGATTATCATCCATAAAACAAAAATAATGACCGACACATGAGATTGACTGATGTGCAATGTCTTATGCACTGCAGATGAAATATGATCTTTAAGCACATCTCACAGGGTTTGGTCATGGTTTGGGTTAGTATGGCTTTTGCTGATATCTGATATACATTTCCACAGTGTCTCTAGTCATGAGTCAGCATTCTTTAAGAGGTTTACTGCAAAGTTCTTATTGCAGCTACTGTAACATGAAGAGAAGGATTGTATACTGCCCTCTGCTGTCTACTTCAGTGCACAAACACAAATATTTGAATTATATTGCTTTCCCTGATTTCATTCTAGGAACCATTTAGTAAAAACAGAGATATTTAAATATACACAGTCACAAATTTGTATTGATATTTTACATTGCATTCATACTGGTGTTGCACGTAGGATAATGTACAAGCATTACTTTCTAGTTACAAGTGACATCTTCTCTGTTATTAACCATTGTTTGTATTATTTCCAAAAGTTAAATGACTGTGTGCTCTGGAAAATATCTTAGATTACTTACAATATGCATGATATTTTGTACAAAGTAAATTTCTGATCTCATCTGATATTTCCCTTTTCATTTGATGGCTCACTGCTTAGTGGAAAATGTCATATATGTTCTCATAAGTTCTTTTGAATAATGTATTTTTTCTTACCACACTCATATACTGGTATTATCATTTACTACTGATTACCTTTACTCCTAAGACATTGAACTCTGCAGCTCCTTCAGGATTTGATTGCACTTTAAAGTGTTTTGTTTGAAGGACTTCCTATCTTGGTTGCTTGTTTGGTTGTGTGTGTGGGTGTGTAAGTATCAAATTTGTATGATTTTATTTTTGATGATTTATTTTTATGTAGAATACTAGTCATTATGTCAGCTGCCACCAATGATCCACACTGCCATACGCCTCAGCATGACCACTTCTGATCACACTCTTTCTTCTTTATTTAAAGATGTATGCAGAGTGACCAGTTTGAAAGACTTCTTCATCTTCAGCTCCTCCTTAACGGTACTAATGCTTTCACAGACATACCCATACCTGTTTGCCCTGATTGCGATTACATTTTTCTGCATGCTACTCACAGGCTAATCTGACCATGATGTCTAAACAAGAAAAAAAATCCCCTTTATCCATAAAATGTAATAGCAATGTTAGTATTTCATTTTTGTTAATCTGAAGCTTTCAAATGAATTCTAACAGACACGTATGTATGAATAAATTAGTGAAAAATACACACTATCATTTGGCTCTTTAGTATTCCTTTGTGTTTTGAAATATGTTAGTTTCTATTAATTACCATGCGCGCGCATATCAAAAGATGCCAAGGCAGAAGGCACCAGGTGACACTCGTGTATCCCACACACACCCCATCATCTTCATAGAGATAATCGACTCGCACCTTTCCTTTCTTCCTGCTTTCTTCCAGAAACAGACAAGCCTGCGGTTTAGCACAGGATCAGTTTCTCAGGTAATGGGCTCATTTTTGTAAGATGTCGCCATCGCTGTGACTTGCATTTTGTGCTTCCAGCGCGATGCTTTGTGACCGATGGACGAAGTGATTTAATAGTCTGTTATACAGGCGTGTTAGTCCAATGCAACAATGGTTCCTCGTGTGAGCACATAATGTCGAGAGGATAACACGTCGTTGTATTTACCTGATGCCTTCGAGCTCGAGACGACAGGGACCGTTAGCTGTCAAGTGCTTGATAAGAAATGTGGTGTTTGAGGGATACCTACTAATATTCTTTTCTTACCCTGTACTGTATAGCAGCCATCAATAGCTGGTATCGACATTATGTCATCTCATATCTGTTTGCAGCCACTAAACCAATGAAATGCATGATGCTACACAACACATGATGATGATCAACAACAACAACAACAACAACAACAACAACAACATAAAGGCTTATGGGTCATTCCATGAACCCGATGCAGTTTCCTGACATTTCTGGAAGATTCTAAACATTCTGTCAGACAAACGCGTTTAAAACTGCATTATGCCACCACAACCTAAATGAATACATTTTAGGATACGCCAGAATGTAATTATGACAGGGTTGAACGGTTTAATTTGACACACAGGGCTTGCACAAGGTGCTTTCTTATAATCTCGGAATTAAATTATGAATTATAAATGATATGGAAGTTATTTTTTAAAAACAAATATACATGAGAGTCACAAAGATCCTTAAAAATATGATTACAACTAGCCTACAGATAACTAAAGAACCACTTCCTATATCATTTTTACCCTGTGTTTGTTCAATTTATTAATATACATGTTATCATTATTGGCAGTGTTGTTGTAATAATGATACTAATAACGATGGTATCGGCTTAAATCTCAAAGTGGATCTCTCAGATCAAATAATATTCGTTGGAATAAATGGGAAAAAAGATGACCTCAAGAAAGATACTGGCTTATCTCAAGAGATTTTAGCTAACTATTCAAAGATAGCCACTGGTTTAGCTCTTGTAAGTCGAATGTTTATATATTTGGTCTTACTGGGCTCTGCCTTTAGTGGGCGTGGTTTGATAAAGTATCTAGCTTTGCGATGTATCAGGCGGTTGGATAAATGGCTGGAGCAAGTTGCAACAAACCCCTTACGTCAAGAAACCCGTTGGTAATAATACTCTTAAAGTTATAATTAAGTTTTTTTCTTCTTCTTAATTTAAGGGTTTTGCAGCTGGGCAATGGTAAATAAAACACGAACAGAACGGCCTTAAACATCTGCGCAATTCCAACTCTCGAGTACAAAACCCCGCCTTACGCTTCTCTCTCGGCCAATCAAAGCAGGTTTTCTAGCAGTTCGGTTGAGCCAAGAGCTTTCGTGTCCAATCAACGGCGAGTATTCCTGCAGGG